CATGGATCTATAATATGTGATCGGGTATTGGGGGAGTATTACGAATTTAGTATCCAAGTGGATCTAAATCTCTAGATATTGATGTTGCTATGTGATTCAAACTCTTTTTACTTGGATTGAGCAATTTACAAGGATCTAATTTGAGTACTTAATCAGAAATAGAATTCAATGCAACCGTTAGATTATTTGTAAGTTTTAATGTTAGATAGAACTCATTTTCAATTCAATGGTTATACTGAATTAAGTTATCAAATTAGATTCAAATAGTATTTGCCTTTTAGAATTGGTGCGTTCAAGTTGATCCCTTTTGCCTCCAACACTAGAGCAAAATTTGATCCCATCACTGCATACAAACAAAGTTGAGTTTACCTTTGTAGAAAATGCATTTTGGAATCTCTTTTTGTGATTTTTTAATGAAAAAACATTCCCACCTACATGGTTTATAATCTTTATGATTGAGGCCCAGACAATTCCCCTTATCCAACAACGCGGTAGACACAAATCTTGACTTTAACAAAAAAAAAAAGTAGAAAATTAAAAAATTTGACTGACTTTGCATTCCCAATCTGTTTTGAACCATCTTGATTAATGGAGGATTATTTGGTAGAGATAGATACCATGATAACACACGTGACAACTTTATATGAGGTTTTTCTCAGTATATGTTGTCTTAATAATAGATCATGCCCTATTAAGTTTATTAATACGCTCTACGCATATGTGGGTTTTCACTAATACACGATTGACGGTCTATAATGATGCTCCGTTTGGTAAGAATGATAAAAAATAAGAGAGATACACTTTCTATCCTTTAAGGATGGAAAGTAAAAATGATACATTTTCCTTCTTTTACGTTTTGTTGAATGGATGAAAATAAAAATAACTATTTTTTTTTGGTCCCAGCTAAAATTAGGGGTGACAATCAAGTCGTGTCATGTCAGATTCGTGTTGAGTCATAAAATTATGAGCCTTTTATATTTCTTGTTCGCATGTCAGATCATTTTCAAGTTCGTGTCGAGTTATAATTAAGATTGTGTCATAAAATTCATGTCAAGTTTGAGTCGTGTCATCATGTTGAGTCAAAAAATATTCACCCCTAAGATGAAAGAAATATTTTTTTAATTTTAAATTTTAATTTATTTTATTTTTTAAATTTATTTAACATATATATATATATATATATACATATTTTATTATTGTATTTTTATATGATATTAATGTATACATAATATATAGACAAATAAGATACATCTCAAAATAAATAAATAACTTTTCATCTACTTTCCGTCCGATTTTAGTGGGATTAATTTAGTGAATTAAAAGAAAAGTTAATTCATCCACTTTTTCATCTTTCTTATTTTCCTTCCTTACCAAACAAGATGTTTTATTTATCCCTATAACTTTCCATCTTTCTATTTTTCCATCATACCAAACGAAGTATTAGAGAAAATTGTAAAAAAAAAAAAATCAAATGGTATCTAAACGACTAATATTTGGATTTGTCATTAATTTAGTATAGACATTTCAAATTTTAAAAATTCAACAGCTAAGTATAGAATCTACAAATCTTAAAGACGATAAGGTAACATATTAAGTTTGTTTTTGCAACGTCCCAATCCTCTTTTATGACTACAAAATAATCGTCAATCAACATGAGAAAGAGAGAGAGAGAGAGAGAGATTAAAAAAAACAATAAAGTGTTTTTTTAGCCAGTTACAAGCTATTGGAAGATTAAAAACATCAACATAATCCATTTACACCAGATAATTGTTAGGATAATTCTCTGGACTGACCTTAAAAGAAAACTCCAACTTTGAAATAAGAAAAAAATTATGGTTTATATTTCGTTGCTTGTTGGTCAACAATATTGTTTGAAAAATTACCATCTCTTTAGTAAGTCACATAAGAAATTCCCTAGATTGTTGGAAAAGTTTTGAAGAATTGTATTAGTTTCACCATTTGAACTAATTACAGTGTAATGACCAAAATAATAATAATAATAATAATAACAATGCCAATGTTCACATTCCAATACATTCACACACATACACGTGTACACTGTTATGTTCAAATAGTTCTGAGTTTTAACCCCTCATAAGTTTAGAGGTTTTTGAATCAACAATTGGGTTCATAACTATTGGTATCAGAACTAGTTGAGTATGGGTTCAAACACAATTTGAGTTGCGGCTCCTTGTGATTGAGTCACATAAGAGACGACTCATATGCTGGATTAAGATGACTTGGTATTATATATATGTATAGTATTATCTCATTGAATATTAATAAATAAGTGAAGTTATCAAAAAATATAACTACCATTAAGTCATTACCGATAGAGTAGGCCGTCATAGACTTCATTCCACGTCCGTTAAAAATAAGATTAAATATTTGTATAAAAACTCTTAAAGACAAATACTACCTATATTTTCATAACATACACACCAGAGAACAAGAGAATGCTGAATGGTCAGAGTCAGACCAGCCTGGAGCTTGAAAAAACAGCCCAACCTAAATACCCCTACACCATCCCTTATTCAAAATCACAGTGGTCAGCACTCGGCAATCACATGGCAAAAAATTGACACTGCCACATGTGGCACCCACACAACTCCCCCAAATCTCTATGAACCATTATCGACAATAGAGGGTCTGACACATGGTCGCCTGTTTGCTTTTTAAGTAAGATTTAGGAAGAGATATAACTAGGAACAGAGCAAGGAAGATAAATTTATATGGACGATTACGTAAAGTTTAAGAGTAATTAGAGTAAAGATTATCGGTGATTGAGTAAGAATAAAACAAGAATATTATAGACGTTTTAGTAAGAATAAAACTCATATTAGGAATATTTAGTGTATAGACACAGGTGCATTGAGAACGTGTCACGTGGTAGGGTTTGAAGAAAAACAAGAAATGATCTATCACAATTATATTTGAAAAAAAAATAATAATTAATTAGAAGTTATCAGTCATTAATCTTCGACAAGAACAAAACCGTCGAAAATAATATCTATAAAAGGGTATGTAATGGTGAAGATGAATTATACACTCAAACCCCCAACGACTCTTGATCTGGGTTATATTAAGAATAATTTTAAATTAATTTCAAGAAGTAATTAGTATTGTAATCAAGGTTGTTTATTCGATTTTTTTGCAACTAAAATCATTTTGATTGAATTAATAAATTTTTTTTTTACTAGTTCATTGTACTATATATTTTTTTATCTGAGAAGGCCTTAAATAAAACATTTAAACTCCTTACAACAATCGCCTAAAAATTATTTATCGATAGAGATATATATTTGTCGATTCCAGCAAATTTTAGAGTAACAATTTACATTTTAGATGAAAAAAAAAATCATATTCCTGAGCAGAAAAAAGAGAAGTGAAAACAATTTGAATCAGAAAAATTGGGGGAGATGGTTGAGTCACGAAGAAAGTCATGTAAAGTTTAAATTTGCAGCCTACAGATAAGCAGAAACAACCACACACAACATGGGTCATGGTATAAACATACATATATTTGTAGATAGATATAGGTATACTAATACATGTGTGTATCTATGTGTGTGTATTTCTGGATATACAGAGTAGTTGGGGGGGGGGGGGGGGGGGGGGGGGGGGGGAAAAGT